TTCTGTAAGTATCCAACAGCCGGCGGCGGAATTCGGGCCACGATGTCATCTGTTCCTCGTGATTCATGTACCAGGTACGTGCTCCATCCTCCAAATAGAAGTACACACGCCGTAGTTTGGCCGCGTCTTTCCAGTCGTTCAAAGCAGCCACGCGTTCGAAGTCGACCAACCAGTCCTCGACGTCTTCGAGCTCGGTGCCATGAAACGGTGTCGGAACCTGTGGACTTTCGAGGGTGTACCGAGTCACCGGGGGGTTTTCCGTACCTGTTAAAGTGGTTTGAACAGACGGGCTCATCATACTAGTGTGAACTGTAGGGTCAGCTTCGGGTGGCAATCCCCTGATCCTGCGGCTTGTCTGATGAACGGGAGTGTTGACTCGCACTGGGCTTGTGGTGCCGCTTCCAGGAGGGGTCTGAAACATCCGTGAGGGGCTACCCAGCACCTCCACCAATTGTCACGTCGCTCCAGGGGGTGTCGACAAGGTTTATTGACGTCTGAGCAACAGGGCTCTAATCAAGCGCGTCGGTTGGGCTTGTTTGCCAGAGCGGGGCCCACGCGCACGTCTTTCTTCTCTGTGGTGTGAGCCTTCATTTTGGCATACGACCCACTACTAGAAGTAGGTGGCAATATGCATTCCTTGTTTGAATAAACGTCTTGTTACTGGTTTCCACTCGTCACAGATGTGATACATGGTGTCAGAAGTGGGCGCGTCGCTCCGCGGCGTAGATGAAATCGGCCCACAAGCTGCAAGCAGTAACCGGTCTATGCAACTGGAAGCCACGGCCGCCCGGCAAAATTGAGCATAAGCGATGGAACTTCTCAAGGCACCAGAACCCTTGCTGCTATCCGGAAATACGGCAAAGAACTGGGAGAGACTCAAACAGAAGTTTGAGCTGTTCTTGGAGGCGACATCACCAGCGAAGGAACCCCGGACTCCAGCTGTCACCGCGCTCCTGCTGAGCTTTGCGGGAAACGAAGCACTTGAGGTATTCAACAATTTCTATTTCTCTAAGAGTGAAAGAAAGCAAGATTATGAGACGGTTGTGAAGAAGTTCGATGAATATTGCCAAGAGCAGCAAAATTAGGTTTTTGAGAGATATCTTCCGCATTAGGACACAAGCAGAAGGCGAACCCTTTGAGAATTTTCTATGTGACCTCAAGAGACAGGCACGCAGCTGCAACTTCGATTCCTTGACAGCATCTTTGATACGGGACCAGATAGTTTTCGGCACAAACAACACGAAGCTGCGCGGAAAAATGCTCAAGGAGAAGAACTTGACGCTTGACAAAGCAGGGCAAATATGTCGAGCTGCGGAAGTATCCGCCCAACAGATTGAAGCGTGGTCCCATGCACACAACCAGATTGATGTGGTTAAAAAATCGCAACAGCACCTTTGTGCCAAATGCAGTCGCTCTCACGCGCGTGCTAGGTGTCCAGCCTTTGGAAAAACTTGCTTCGTGTGTAAAGGAAGAAATCATTTCGCTAGGTGCTGCACAAAACCTCAAATAGACGAGGTTCTCAAAGAAAGCGATGACTTCAGCGTTTCGGATGTAAAAATTTGCAACGTCAACAGCAGGGAAGATTGTACAGTCAAAGCGCAGGTTGCGGGTGAAAAGGTGGTGCTTAAGGTTGACACAGGCTCTCAGGCAAATCTACTGCCTTACTCTATCTACCGAAGGTGCAAGGGGGACCTGAAGCTTTACCCAAGCTGTGCCGTACTTTGGTCCTACAGCGGAGGTGTTATCAAACACGTTGGCGTGGCAACACTGCAAGTTGAGACGAATGATTGGTCCAGTAGCATACTCTTTTTTGTTGTGAAAAAGAGCAGCCCCGCTATTCTGGGATTAGCCGCAACTGAAACTCTGGGTCTGGTGTTGCGCAACGTAAACATGGTCAGAAAAGATGGCACCAGTGACATTGTCAAAAAAATTCCCGGATTTATTTCAGGGAACTGGCTGCTTGCATCAACAGTACCACATGGTTTTGCGCAAGGATTTAGCACCAGTAGTAATGCCAGCGCGGCGTGTACCATTGGCACTGCGAGGACCACTACGAGATGAGCTCGACCGGATGGAAAGAGGCGGCATCATATAGAAGGTCAACGCGCCAACAGACTGGGTGAGCCCTCTAGTAATTGTAAGAAAGAAAAACGGAAAGCTGCGTTTGTGCATGGATCCTAGGAACATCAATGAGTGTCTAAAGCGAGAACATTATCAAATGCCAAAGCGAGAAGATATTGAGGCTGAGTTAGCAGGGGCCAAATATTTCTCGTGCCTTGATGCAAACTCCGACTTTCACCAAATCCCTTAAGACAATGCAACGTCCAATATCTGTACGTTCAGCACACCGTTCGGGCGATACCGTTTTCTCAGGCACCCATTCGGTATAGCTTCCGCTTCATAAGTTTTCCATAAGGCGATGAGCGAAATCTTCGACCGCGCAGCAGAAGTGCACGTGTATGTTGACGATGTCCTAATATATGGAACTACTAAAGATGAACACGATGCGCGCCTCCGTCATGCTTTGCAATTAGCCAGACAGGTTGGCTTGACGTTCAACGCTGATAAATGCAAGTTCGGGCTGACTGAAATTCATTTCTTGGGTGACGTCATATCTAAAGAGGAAATAAAACCAAACCCCTTGTTGAGCGCATCACTGGGCAATTTACCTCACCCAGCCGACAAGGCAGCTGTACATCGGATGCTAGGCGTGGCTAATTACTTTGGCAAATTCATACCCAACCTGGCCGATAAGACGAACCTGCTGCGCAGCCTTTTAAAGAAACACATCATTTTTGAATGGACAAAGAACCGTGCGCGTGAGTGGGCAGTCATTTGCAAACATCTCATCAAACCACCACTGCTCGCCATCTTTGACGCGTCTAGAGAAACTAAAATCTCTGCAGATGCTTCGAAATGCGGGCTAGGAGCAGCTCTTCTACAGCGTTACGGTGACGCTTGGCGGCCAGTTGCCTATGCATCTCGCGCTATGAGCGATGCAGAACAAAGATATTCTCAGATCGAAACAGAGGCGATGGCAATTAGCTACGGATGCGAAAAGTTTCACCAGTTTGTTTATGGACGCAAGATTGTGATTGAAACTGACCATTGTCCGTTGATTGCCATGGCTACAAAACCTATTGATGACATGCCTCCACGACTTCAGCGTTTCTTTCTGCGTTTGTTCACCTATGACTTTGATCTTTACTTCGTGCCAGGCAAGCAGCTACTCCTGGCGGACATGCTGTCCAGGGCGTCACCAAGAGCCGCAAGAGACGTTGTATTCAACAAGGACGTAGAAGTCCATGCAACAAGAATTGTGTCCGAGTTGGTAAGCGAAAAGCCATGGATCGCCTAGCAAAGGAAACTGCAGCCGATGCCGAGTTTCGAGCTGTTATCGACTACTTGTGCGGCAAGGGAAAGCTCAAGGGCCCATTGAAACCGCTCGCATCCGAGTTATCACTCATATAGGGCATTTTATTTAAGGGATGCAAAGTGGTTATCCCAAAGTCATTGAGGCGAGAAATACTCGACCGCATTCATGAAGGGCACTTGGGTATGAAGAAGGCCAAAGCAAAAGCTCGACGTCTGGTTTTCTGGCCAGGGCTTAACGTTGCCATCGAGAGGAGGCTACAGGGCTGTACAGCCTGCCGCAAGTACGCTTATGCGCAGCAAAGTGAGCAGCTAGTATTGAGGCCGACACCACAACACGCATGGTACAGAGTTAGAGTCGACATTTTCCAGCAAGGTGGAAGTTCATACCTCTGTGTCTTCTATGCTTTGTCCAATTTCCCGGAAGTCAAAAAACTAACGGACTTGACCACTATATCTATAATCGAAAAGCTGAGTGCCATTTTTGCTAGATATGGCATCCCAGTAGAAGTTTGCAGCGATAATGGTCCTCAGTTCTCATCCTATGAATTTACACGTTTTGCCTCCAGATACGACTTCCAGCATGTGACATCTAGCCCCGGATTCCCTCAGTCCAACGGCCTCGCTGAAAAAGGCGTTCAAATTGTCAAACGGATCATGAAGAAGACTGCAGAAACGAAACAGGACTTCTGGCTTGAGCTGTTGAGCTATCGTTCGTTACCCCTCGAAGATGGTCGTTCCCCTGGTGAACTCCTCCGAGGCAGACGCCTACGCACGAGACTTCCTGACTTCGGCCACCACTCAAGCATTCCCGTGACTAAGCACAAACAGTCCGATGATAGGGGCAGATGCTTGCCAGTGCTCAAGAAAGGCGAAGTTGTATGCGTCAAAGACAAGGCATGGACAAGAAAGGCGCAAGTGCTAAAACGAGTCGCACCGAGACCTTACGAGGTGGCCACGGTGGGCGGCAGAAGGTTTCGACGTAACCGGCACCACCTACTGAGGACAGGTGAGCAGTATCGGGAAGACTTTGAAAGTGAGTCCTCATCGAGCGATGAACGTGATGCCTCGACGAGCCAGGACGGGCTCGGCATGAGCACAGTGACGAACATCGAAGGCTCGGTAACAGATCATCTGAGCAGCCGCCCGCACAAGTTTCAGTTCCTCAGCAAGGCGTACTTCCTTCCCTACGCAGGTCTGCTCGGGACACACGACCACCGGATCGACTACGCTATGATAGTAACTTTAATCAAGTTACTTAAGTTGTTTTGTTTTCCCGCTGGAAGATGTATCGATCGAGCAATGCTTGTAAGCCATGCGCACGCATGCACCACCGTCAACGAAACTAATCTTAGATAATGACCACACGTGGTTATCATGCTGCATACTATATATACGCATTCCTTGTTTGAATAAACCTCTTTTGTGACTGGCTTCCACTCGTCACAGATCTAATACAGGTACCACGCAAGTGTGTTTGTAGTAGTTTCTCAAAGAGTATTAAAAAAGGCTCTAGAAGGGTTGCACTTTCATCGTGCCTGTGCTGCGCATTTCATTCAGGCCTGTTTTTTTTTTAATGATTGCATAATACTGGGGCCAAAAAAGATGTCTTCTTGTGATATATGCAGCCGTGCCTGGTGGTCAAATCCGGGCGCCATCCTTGCCTGCTTGAGCACCTCGGTGCTAGCAGCCTCATCCCAAATGATCTGTCTCTCGGAGGAGCCAAGGTATGCCATCTTATCTTCTCCATGCTGTTTTTGTGTTTTATGCTAGTTATAGAGAACCTCGTTTATATATTGTCTTTGCTCGCCTATTGATAACCCTCATGTAATGATTGCACCCCTGGATGCTGTCATCAAAATTAGGTGCTTTTTTCTTCCCACGTACTACAAATCAAAATTATCAAATTAGAGCTGTGCGAATAGCAAAATGTTTGGTGGAAAGTCAACTTGAATATTTTTTGAATATTGGTGATTGATTTATATGTGGGGTTTAACGTCCCAAAACCGCCATACGATTATGAGAGACGCCATAGTGAAGGGCTCCGAAGATTTCTATTTTTTTTTTAATAGTTGTCGCATATTTGTTTACTGTTTTTCAAATACTTTAAAGTGACATTACTATAAAGGGTTGCACAGGACCACATTTTTATGAAGTGCTGGAAGAATGGAGTTCCCTAGTTGTTCGATCAAGGATGAGACAATGCAGAGAGTAACTGTATTTACTTACGTGATTTCGTGCAACCAGTTTAATAGTTAGCACATTAAAAGAAAAGGTTCAGCAGTGAAAAGCGTGCTCCTTTTGAATTCGGAGTTTCTAATCTGCCCTCTAGTGGTCAATGTACAAAAGCATCTAAATAAGCAGGTGCTGGTAATTCTCTTCAGACGATGGGAGCGATGCAAGAACCAATTGATTCTTGCATCACTCCCATCGTCAGTGACCTGTTTTTAGACAAATTAGACAGATCCATTTCGGAAGTTTTCACTAACACTAATGTGACGCACGTTTTCAGATATGTAGATGATTTTTTAATTTTTATGGACACTGATGTTGCATCGTATAAGAATGACACTCTTACAGTTTTAGACCTGATGCGAAATGGTTTTAAACATTTTGAGCTTACTCGTGAACTCTCTGAAAATTGCGAAATCAGGGTTCTTGACTTTAAGCTTTTCCTGAATAATTGACGCACTTGCTGGATGTATCAACCACGTGGAAATAAGCCTGTTTTGCCATTTCATTCCGCACATTTTAAGTTAGTTAAGCGAGGTATTGCAAAATCTTGCTTCATGAATGTCTTGCGAAAATAATGTGTGCACAAGATTACAGAAAGCTTTGTTGAGCAATCTTCAAGGCTGACGTCGGCTGGTTACCCTGACCACGTGCAAGTTTCCGTTGCCGAAGGCCTGCTGCGAGAACTTAAGGCCAAAGGGACAGATAATGCAGTCCCACCTGTCACTGCTAGACAGGCTTTCGCCGTGGTTCCATATATGCACAAGATAGCACACAATCTTAAGAAAGTGGCACAGCAAGTTAATGTGAAGGTGGTCTTTACGGCCCCCTCAAAAATTGAGTCGCCTGTGCAAGCTGTCCGTTCCTCCGTCCAGACCTACCCTTGGTTGCACTACAAAACATGCAAATAAATTCAGAGATTGCATCTGCAATGTGGTGTATCAGCTGCTGTTATCGTGTAAAAGGTATTACGTCGGTCAAACGGGTCGTTGTATAAATGAGAGGCTGAGGGAACATATGTACAATGTGGATCACTATGAACAAGGATGGCTGTCCGTTCACTGCAGCACGTGTAGCTGCCGGCCAATATTTTCAGAGTGTTCTATTGTTGCTAGATGTAGGTATCGTACCACACGCGAGATCATAGAGGCAGAAAAGATTTGCTCATTGAAAGATGCTTGTGTTAGCACCCCTTCTGTCGTGCTCACCGATAAGGAAAAGTTGTTCCTTTGCTTGTCAATGTGATGTACTTATGCATTGTCATTGTGTTTCGCGCATGACTAGTGCGACTGGTAACTGTATAAAAGCGAATACCTTCACAAGAAATAAATTGTTGGCAGTTCAGCGCTCTGTCTTGTCTCTTCTCCTGCCCCTTCCTGCCATGTCGTTTGCGCTGGTAAGCACCCTTTATGCAAGAAATACTTAAGGCAGTGATGAAAGTGCTGCTCCAATTACTCCAAACTGCTTCAAAAGAGAAATTCCGCTTCATGCTGCTCCAAACTGCTATATTTGCTAGTAACTGCTCCAAAATAGTGTTGGCAATTTAAAAATAATAAAGTTAAGCCATGGGACCATCCCGTGAGCATAAGCAAAACCAAAAGCAAGCTGTATACACTATCATCCTAGTATGCTACTCGGTGGTGTAAATCCAGAAAAAACTCAAAGGGTGACACATATTAGGCCGTAATTTCCAATTCATATTTTTAATATAGGTTGTATTTTTATTTATATAGGAATTAAATCATGCTTTCAAATAAAATGTAAAAAAAAAAACGAGCATGGGGTCCAATTTACTTCTTCCCACCCCGCCTGCCACAAATACTCAGTTGTGACCATGGTACTCCAGAGAGCTAGGAACTTATGCTCCAATGACATAGAGCGAAAGAAAGAAGATGCCCACGTAATTGCGTACCTCAGAAAAAACAGATACCCAAAAAACTTCATTTGAGCCGCCACCCGCGGCGCAGAGCAACAGAGGATACGGAAACCCCAATCAATATTAATTGGCAGCCCCCCGAAACGTGTAGCGGTCCCATAGGTTCAGGGAGCCAGCGAGATGTTGGCTCTTCAAGAAGGAAGGGATTCGCATCGCACACGTGCCTTCGTGTACGCTGGGCTGCCTCCTCCCTTGCCCGAAAGACCGGCCAACAATGGACAGGACCACCGGTGTCGTTTACAAAATTACGTGCACGGAGTGCCCTCCTTTGTATATCAGTGAGACGAAAAACCTACCGGAATGACTGAAGCAACACGCCAACGATGTGTGGAAGCTCTAGAAAAAGTGCAGCGCAGTCACTTAACAGGCTGAGACATTGGATCACCGGATAAATTTTGAAGCAATGGCCATCTTTGAATGCGAGCCGAACTGGAGGAGGAGGTTACTTCTCGAGTCGTGGCACATACAAAGGACAGTTCATAACATCAACCGCTCTCTCGGAGCCTTTCCCCCAGTGTGTACAAATGGACTGCGCTCCACGGCAAAACGAGAGAGAGGAGGGGGGGGGTCATTATCCACCCCACGAGTGCTTTGAAGACGACGTTGCTACGTAGTCCTGCAATCACCCCTGAGGAAGGAATCAAGTCGGTTTCGAAACGTTGGGTTTCTTCAGAAACTTTTGGTTGCAGTATAAACCATCTCCCAGTTTCATACCCCACCAGACAGACTTCTGTCAAATGTTTACATTTAGTTCAACCTCTTTTTTTATTGCAATAGCAATTATAAGGACACTCTCAGCTGGTTTCTGCCGTCGTTGTTCACTGTATATGTATACATATCTCAGTGATGTATAGATGTGCCAATTGCGCCTTACTGTGCCAAAAGACAAATCCTGCCACATCCGGCAACATTTCCATTATTCTGCGCCAAACATGGTGTTTTCATATTTCGAAAACGAAACTACAAATTCTTGAGGTCGAAATGTCCTGAGACACGCCACACTACTGTGGCTATTAGGACGTGAGCTTGTGAAGTGCTAATAGGATTACCTTTTTATTACACCATTAACGGCCTAAATAACGTAATTTCGCAAAGGAACACATATATGCCATATGGATGGTGTGCACTTGGCGTCATCCGTGAGGAACACTAGTGTTGGCGTCGCCATTTTGAAGGTCCGTGGGCTCACTGCACACGTCAGAAAACTTGCTGCACATGTTGTATTCGAGATCCTTATGGCAACTTGAATGTCTAGAGACGTCCACAACACCTTCAGTACACCAAAGCACGTACTGCAGGACGGCGCGTACAAACGGACATTCAAAATGCCTTGGTGACGGTGCTGTCCCTTTGTAGATCCAGGCTTTCTCCATAAACTGCAAATGTGGCAACATTTATCGAAACCGCAGTCGCACCAATCTGAGAATTGTCGTGCAGCAGGGATGTAAATCCTCCTCTTGTTAGATGTGCAAATGTTGAAAAGTTAGCTTTTGCTGGCTTCTGTGCCAACAAGAGGAACACAGAAAAAGAAACACTGTTGCAGAAATACCCCAACTAACTTTTCAGAGCTCGTTTATGCAACGGAATTCCCCCCATAATTGTAACCGAATTCTCGCTTTCTTTAGGCGCTGTGTCTGAAGCATTTGCGACCGCAAACCACGTTTCTAATGTTACATATGCACCGTGCACGCTCTATTTTTCGTTAACAATGCATCTGCTTTCGCACTCAAAGTTGTTTCCATACCCCTTCAGTCCTTTGAAAATGTAACCACTGTCAAGCGTTTTGTTCACTCGCCACCAAACCGCACATTCGCGGGTGCTACTCATGGGGCGGTTATGCGTTTAGCGCTCGTTGGGTCTATCCTGCGGACTTGCAGCCGCCCCGGGTAGTTAGCCCTAAAAAGCATGAAATCAAGTGCAAATGAGATGCCACGCACAAGCTCAACCGAAGGCAGCATGCGTGGAACCAATTTTGAGTAGAGGGTTGGGAGAACAGCCGCGACAACTAATGCTTGCCAAGCTTGCAAGTCTGCGTGCTGGTGGGAAAGAAGATAGCCCGCATCGCAAAATCTTTTTGGTTGCGAAATAGTGCTTTCACTGACCGTAGAATTGAGCTAGCTTATGCGATAATGCACTTTATGACGGCGCAACTATTTTATGGCGTGGACTTGGGTGGCGCAATGGAACGCACGGCAAGCAGCTGGAGTCTAGGGTTTTTGGACGACTAAACTCATTCTCACACCGTCCGCCTGCGGCACATTCTTTTTAAGTGCGAAGCTAGAGAAAATATTGGGTGTCTAGGGAAAAAAAGATCGAAAAAAAAACGCAGTTTATTGCAGCTATGGTGGCCAGGTGGCGTCATACCACAGCTGCGCTGGCGCTCACCACCTGAGTTTACCCCCGTCCTGCCTTGCATGCACCGAAGAGCCGCCACCAATCCATGTGCCCACGAACAGAGACAGTCCGCGCATTCGCCGCTCTGAGTTTGCCTGCTGTGCCGCAAGTGGGGTACCAGCGACGATAGGTCCATGCCAGATTTGCACATTACTTCTGGCCGAA